GCTCCCGGGGAATTTCAGGGCGGTGCGTTTGTATTTGCCTGCTCCCTGCCGCAGAGTGCTGGCCAGGCTGAGCTGCCCTCCCCCCCATTCCTGCGAGGTCTTGAGGAAGAGTGCGGGCGTGACAGGACGGCTCCATCCCAGGCTGTGCTAGTTAGCGCTCCGACTGGGGCTGGTGACAGCAGGACCGATGAAACTCGGATCCCGAGCTCCTCCGTGGGCCCCCGGCAGGGCCCGCGAGCTTCCTGGGTTCTTCTCCCGCAACTCCAACTAGCCCTGGTTGCTGAGGTCCCTCCTTCGCACTCCACTGCTGATTTACATGCTAATTGTGTCTGGGAAAAGTTGTTTAATTGGCAGAATTAGCCAGAGCAAACGAATTGTTTCACAGGCTGAACCAAATTAATTCCGGGTTTACTTCCTTCCCTTGGAGAAACAAACAATTAAGCTGTCTTGTTTGCTTTATGGATATATTGGAAATTCCCCACGTCGAGTTCCAAGATAATTTTTTAAGGGAACATTATTTTCAATATTAATACTGGTATATTTAATTTGCAGGAACGATGAGCAGAGAAGCAAGCGATTACATTTACCTAATTTAAAATTATAGCCTACAGAGGTAAAGAATTCGAGTTTACTTTGCACGGTGAAGAAATACCACGCAGAATTTTCCTGGCATTACGAGGTCCTGAAGTCTCACTGTCCAATTAGGCAGCGTGCATCATCCTGACCCTGTGAGATGACATTTCCACCTGCCAGGGGAGAGAGGGATGCTCCACAGGTAAAGAAAAGCCAGCTATTGTGTAGCTCCTAAAGCCCTCTGGGGAGCACCTGTGAGGAGGCCTCTTGGTGAAACCACATGATGTCATTTCCACTTCTGTGTGCCTCCCACTGGCTCCCAGACGCACCCCTTAACTTACGTAAAACCACTGCCCCACTAAAGCACTTGAAGTTAGCAATTCCCTTTGTCCCTTCTGGGAGAATAAGCCAATGGGAGTTAAAGAATCAGTGTTAAAACTAGAAAGAAACGTACAAATGTTTGTCGTCAAGTGGCATGGAGTGGCGTGATTAAGAAATTGGTCTCTGGAGGCTAGCTGTGGTTATGGCTTACTCGCTGGTGACCTGAGGCTCCACTGATCTCTGGGAGCCCCAGTGTAAGCCCGTTGCTGTCGAATGTATTGTAACTCATGGCAAGGCTGTGTCCCCAAGTAGACGGGATCCTTTCTTCAGGAGTAGCTTTCTTCTCTGGTACCACTGGCTGGGTTTGAAACCTTTAGATTCGTGGTTGATCCCAAACCGTTTGTGCCACCTAGGGGCCTCAGAGCCTCAGCATAATAAAATAAAATTTTAAAAATCACTGCCGGTGGGTTGGTTCTGATCCAGTGAGCCTGAAGAGCAGAATAGAGCTGTCCCTGTGGATTTCTACGACTACATTTTTACAAAATTAGAGAGCCTCCTCTTTCTCCTGTGGAGCAGCTTATGGTTTCAAACTGATAACCTTGTACTTAGGGGCCCAGTGCACAACCCACTACACCACCAGGGCTCACTTGTTAAATGAGATTTTTACTACACCCTCTACCCACTGTTTGTGGGTATTCTGTGAGGTAATAGGTATACATTGAGTGTCTTGGGCCTGGCGCAATCTGCTTTGTAGGTTGACGAACATCGTGATTGTCCTTGTCCATATCGATCCCAACACCATATTTTACAGGGGTCAGATTGAGGCTTTAGAGGAAAGGAGAGGCTTGTTTTCCAGTAATTAAGTCCTAGCAGGAAGCTACTCGTTATGGCTCCCCATCAATAAAGGCTTATTAAATAACATCACCCACTTTTCATAAATCACTTGGAAAAAGTGTGGAAGAAGGATAAACTAAAACACAAAGGTGAACACATGCCAGATACATTTCAAGGCCATATCTAGCTGTTTGAGCAGAATTGCTGCTTTAAGACAAAGAGGAGAGGTGAACTTGAGAGAAGAGGGAGAGACCACAGAAGGGACTGTGATTCTTACTGCTCGGCTCTTTGTGGGTATGAGTTCATGGGGGATGCTGAGGGACACTGAGGGAAAGAAATACAGTGTATACATCCAGGTCATTGCTAATTATAAACAGGAAACCTGCGTGCATCCTTGATTCCTTCTGCAATGTTCCCTCCCTCTGCTTGCCTGAAATCCTAACCCCAAATCCACTGCCAATGGTAACTCCACAGGAGTATAAAGCTGGTCTTCCTCTGAAGGAATAGCTAGTGGTTTCAAACTGCCAGCCTGTGGATCGCAGCCCAGTACTTAACCGCTACACTACCAGGGCTCCTTTCCCCCGAAACAACCCTACGAAACAGTAAACCTGCCCCATAGGGTACCAAGGCAGTAACGTTCCAAGGAAGCAGCCTGTCACATCTTTTCCCCGTGGAGAATCCTGGGGGTTCCTCTGCCACCCTTTAGGTCATCAGCGGAGCCCTCTGCACAATGCATTGCCAGATGTGCTCTTCTCAGAATCAGGGATTTCAGACTTTCTTTGCACATTAGAACCACCTGGGGAGCCTTAAAATAACACAAATATCAGTGCCCCAGAGATGCTGAAGTCTTGGACTGGGGTGGGACCTAGACAGGGTTGGTTTTTTTTAAGCTCTGCAGTTAATTATAATGTGCAACCAGGGGTGAGAATCACAGGCAGGCTGAATCTTGGTGTGTTAGGCCGGGCTGACTAGAGAAACAAATATATATATAATTATTTGTAGAGGAAAAAATCCCAGCTCAATCCAATTCAGGTCCATAAGTCCGAATCTAGTCCATACGGCCCTCTTCAGACGTATGCAGCCACATGCAATGCTGCAGAATGCAGGAAGATCACAGATTGGTGGGTGCAAAGTCCTGTGGCCCAAGGACCGTAGCGCTGGCAGCCATCTGGGTCAGCTAGCAGGAAGGTGAAGGCAGAGAAGGGAGGTTGATTTGTCCTAGAACACTGCGTTCTCCCTTGTGTCCCTTCTCGCAGCGGGGAGAAGTGAGGAGAGTGGCTTTCTTGCCTCTCGTGCTGCTGTGAAACCATTCCTTCCCCTCTTGTGATTGTGCCACACAATGTATCAGTGCTTCCCACATAGCTAACTCACTTGAACTTCATCCTTCACAGACTTGATTGTGGGCTCACTGTCTTCCCGTCGGATCCACCTTCCATCACCCTTCACAGTATTACCGGGGAAAGTCCCATCCATTAGCCCTTAGACTTCTCATTCGCTTCTCTTTCTCAACGGCACT